GAGTCAATTTTTTGTTCCTCTCATCACTTGGAAATTCACCTTCCCTTGGGTTACACATTAGCTGTTGCAAAAGTGCTGCTACTGCTGGTACTCTGCTGCTTCTGCAAATCAGGACTTCAAGATTTACTCACCTGTTTGAATGGAACAAGAAAAAAAAAAAACTTGACCAAGAAACAGATAAACAAATCTAGAGAGGTGAGCAAAGACGGACATTTAGCAGAACCACTTTTCCTACACTGGAATACAACTCCTCAAGTAATATAAATTATTTGTTTCTTCCACTGCCAGACTTGAATTGCCTTTCCCTGTCATGATCTCACAAAAAAAAAAACCCTGAGCTATCCAGAAGGGATACTCAGTCGGGTTACTTCAAGCTAATTGGGGCAGGAGTGGGGCGATGCCATTAGAAGTTGTATGCAGTAAATGACGCTAAAGTTCAAAAAGTCAGCACCAACTTCCCCAAACATGCAGACAAACGAAATGATAAAACCCCCCAGACCCAAAACAAAGAACATACGTAGCCCAACCCAGCACTATTAAAAACATGGAATCCCAGCACTATTAAAACAGGCTTCCTCTCTGGAGCAAGAATAATCATTTCACAATGAATAGATAAACCAAATGAAAAGAAGGAATTCTGAAGGGGAGGAAGCAATTTCTACAATCAGTTAGACCAGAAACACCCTCAAGATAGGTAACAAAAGGCTACCAAGGGTTTAGCTCCTCAGCATTGAACCCAGTTGTTACTGTGATGCAAATGAGCCATCAACATACTAGCCAGCACAGTTAGACAGGCTTATCCTAACAGTGTCACAGGCACTTATTCCTCCAGCTGCTGCTAGCCTCAAGCATGGCTTTTGCAATCCAGTAAGCCGAAATTTGGGACTGTTTTGGAATGAGCTTTATGAGGAAGTGCGAAACAAAAGACTGCTTTAAGCTTACAGAAAACAAGTATGAAATACTGCAGTATGCCAGTCTAGTAATATTGAACTCCATGTTAGATATGCCAAATAAACAAATACTAATATTTTTTGGCACTGAAGCTTAATGAATAGAAAGCATAAGAAGATTCTAGGCTCTGTGAGAGCTCAAATCAAGAAAGTAAAGGAAAATGTCTGGTATACAGAGGCTGCTGAAGTTTATAAAAGAAATGGGACTGCTGAGAGAGGCAGCTACAACACTGTAGCTTCAGGGACTGCATGGTCAAAACCACAACAGCAGGGCAGGCTGAACTGGCAGAGGACAGATAAAGACTCACCCAAATGCAAGTATATATGATCCTCGTGACAGAAATGATAGCTATGTATCACCACAAATGGACATGAAATGAAACAAATCCAGAAAGGGATCTTATACAACAAAAGCCTGCTCTCTGGTTTATATCTGGATCAACTTTAGCTGGAGTCTACTTGCTCAAAATTTAATTTACAGTGAATAAAAAAGACTGATGCAGAAAATTATTTTCCCACAGGTACAACCCTGCAATCACAATACAGGCAACCTCTCAAAATACAAAAACAAGGAAATGAAAACAAACAAAAAGCCCAAATCCAAGTATTTTGGCAAGGACTATCAGTCCTGTAAAAGGCAAGAAGGTATAAACACAACAACTAAGACCCATACTCATTTTCACGAACTGCTTTTGCACATTTAGATAGACTCCTAGCAAAAATTAGGTTCCTTATGTGAATAATCAACATACTTATACAATTTTGTCTTCAGTAGATGCTTCTACAAAGCAAGAGGTCAAACTTTTTTATCTTAAAGTGAATAAAGCAAAATGAAGCAGTATCAAGTCTGTAATTTTAGAAATCAAGAGTTTCATCATTTTGATAAATATTTAGAACTAAACTTTTTTCCACTTTTAACAGCCCAACTTTTTATCACAGTCAAACCCTGTGATTT